CATTTACCAACAGTATAAAAATAATATTTAACTTACCAAACTCTCTGATATTTATCAACAGTACGAAAATAATGTTGAACTCAATACCAAACTCTATAACATTTACCAACAGTATAAAAATAATATTTAACTTACCAAACTCTATGACATTTACCAACAGTACGAAAAAAATGTTGAACTGAATACCAAACTCTAAGATATATTTTTGTACAGTACGAAGAAAATGTTCATCTTAATACCAAACTCTATGATATTTATCACCAGAATGAAAATAATGTTTAACTTAATAGCAAACTCCTAGATATTTACAATTAACTCAACATCAAGGTATTTGGCAAACGGCATTTCGCCGATTTTATATCGTTAATTTTCCTTTCCTCAGTAGAAACATCCTTTTCTTTCCTGCTTATATAGTTTACATGTCGCCATTCCGGGGTCTGTTCTCAGTATCGGGATTGTTCTCTCGGGAATTCTTCTGTTGGTCAATAAACTACATAATCAAACTATTCTACCGCTTTCAGTCTATATAATATCAACATTATCCTTGTATACTCTTAGAATGGTGGTGAGTCAACTCTCGTAGACGTCAGCTATGTTTATGGGACACATGTCAAGTCTCGAGAACAATCTATCTCGAAAAGACAGCTGTTTGGAAGATAAGTGCCAACTCCATTTATATCGCTGTTTTGCTATGTTAGACAAATTGGCCATTTGGTAGCTTGTACACCATTATAAAATAATCGTTATTATTTAAGTGCATGTCATGCAGCATAGAGTCACTTTAATGTCCCCCCTGATTACACCTCTCGGACAGAAGTCAGACAGCAATACTAAACACATAAAAGCCGTAACTCAATATGTGAGTTTGACGTCATACATACAATCTGATGAACGCGGCCCTCGCTGGATACCTTCTAACAGCAACTTCTAGGAAATGCAAATTCTATCATGTTGCTACACGATGCCATAACGAAATCTGACAAACGATGTGTGTATGTGGACAAGGTTTCACTAAGTGAGTTAGCGACTGGGACCTGTTGGTCGGTGCCCGTCTCCGCTCACACATTTTGCCGACTTCTCCTCTCTACTGATTAACCTACCTGAGCAAAACAATTTGTAATGACGTCATTACTTTTGATGCAATTTGGTTTCATTTCCCCGGTCACAAGTAAGATCGAAAGCGAAGAACGAATGAATCTGTGGCTTAAAATCAATGATGGAGGCGAGCGAAATCTTGCGTCTTCAATCAGATCTGGCGCCTGCTGGATTACCATAGTTATCCTAGACTAACCCCTTAAACGTAGACATGACGTCATGATGGATCTTTTCCCATGAACGATGAAGTTAACATCTTAATTTTTCTTTCGTATTAATCATCTGAAATGTTTTCATCCCTGATTAAAACAATTTGATTGATCGTGTAAAAAATAGATATATACATGTATACATGACACTGACGTCGTTATTATAAACTAAAGTTTGGAACAACAAGTTCGGGCACATTTCTCTTTCGCTGTCTGTTAAGTACATGTACAGGATAATACGGTAACTCGTTCATAGACAAAACACTGCTCGTGCGCACCTAATGTCTACGTGTTTTAAACACAAATCGAAATTTTGAGTTTTCTATGCAGTTCCAAAATGCATTTTCACTTTTAAGGCTGTTTTAATGATATTTTTTTTATTAAGTAAAGAAAACTGTTAGTGGCGGTTACATGGACCTTTATAATATGTTTGTGCGTTTGTACTGTTTGTTTCAGTTTGCTGTAGTGTATTTCAAATCATGGGAATGATATACAGTTACCATTCTCACAAACCACGGGAATGGTATACAGTTACCATTCTCACTAACCACGGGGATGGTATACAGTTCCCATTCTCACTAACCACGGGAATGGTATACAGTTACCATTCTCACTAACCACGGGAATGATATACAGTTACCATTCTCACAAACCACGGGAATGGTATACAGTTACCATTCTCACTAACCACGGGAATGGTATACAGTTACCATTCTCACAAACCACGGGAATGGTATACAGTTACCATTCTCACTAACCACGGGAATGGTATACAGTTACCATTCTCACAAACCACGGGAATGGTATACAGTTACCATTCTCACTAACCACGGGAATGGTATACAGTTACCATTCTCACAAACCACGGGAATGGTATACAGTTACCATTCTCACTAACCACGGGAATGGTATACAGTTACCATTCTCACAAACCACGGGAATGGTATACAGTTACCATTCTCACTAACCACGGGGATGGTATACAGTAACCATTCTCACTAACCACGGGAATGGTATACAGTTACCATTATCACAAACGACGGGAATGGTATACAGTTACCATTCTCACTAACCACGGGAATGGTAAACAGTTACCATTCTCACAAATCAAGGGAATGGTAGACAGTGACCATTCTCACAAATCAGGGGAATGGTATAGAGGTGTATATTGGGTTTGTCAACATTGTAGCCTCTTTGTACATGGATAGGAAGTGGGTTTGTCAGCATTGAAGCCTCTTGTTCATGGCTAGGAAGTGGGTTTGTCAGCATTGAAGCTCTCTGTACATGACACTAGGAAGTGGGTTTGTCAGCATTGAAGCATCTCTGTACATGGCTAGGAAGTGGGTTTGTCAGCATTGAAGCCTCTCTGCACATGGCTAGGAAGTGGGTTTGTTAGCCTTGAAGCCTCTCTGTACATGGCTAGGAAGTGGGTTTGTCAGCCTTGAAGCCTCTCTGTACATGACTAGGAAGTGTGTTTGTTAACATTAAAGTCTCCCTGTACATGGCTAGGAAGTGGGTTTGTCAGCATTGAAGCCAATCTGTACATGACTATGAAGTGGGTTTGTCAACATTGAAGCCTCTCTGTACATGGCTAGGAAGTGGGTTTGTCAGCATTGAAGCCTCTCTGGACATGGCTAGGAAGTGGGTTTGTCAGCATTGAAGTCTCCCTGTACATGGCTAGGAAGTGGGTTTGTCAGCATTGAAGCCTCTCTGTACATGGCTAGGAAGTGGGTTTGTCAGCATTGAAGCCTCTCTGTACATGGCTAGGAAGTGGGTTTGTCAGCATTGAAGTCTCCCTGTACATGGCTAGGAAGTGGGTTTGTCAGCATTGAAGTCTCCCTGTACATGGCTAGGAAGTGGGTTTGTCAGCATTGAAGTCTCCCTGTACATGGCTAGGAAGTGGGTTTGTCAGCATTGAAGCCTCTCTGTACATGGCTAGGAAGTGGGTTTGTCAGCATTGAAGCCTCTCTGTACATGGCTAGGAAGTGGCTTTGTCAACATTGAAGTCTCCCTGTACATGGCTAGGAAGTGGGTTTGTCAGCATTGAAGCCTCTCTGTACATGGCTAGGGAGTGGGTTTGTCAGCATTGAAGTCTCCCTGTACATGGCTAGGAAGTGGCTTTGTCAACATTGAAGCCTCCCTGTACATGGCTAGGAAGTGGCTTTGTCAACATTGAAGCCTCTCTGTACATGGCTAGGAAGTGGCTTTGTCAACATTGAAGCCTCTCTGTACATGGCTAGGAAGTGGCTTTGTCAACATTGAAGCTCTCTGTACATGACACTAGGAAGTGGGTTTGTCAGCATTGAAGCCTCTCTGTACATGGCTAGGGAGTGGGTTTGTCAGCACTGAAGCCTCTCTGTACTTTGATAGAATGGGTGAGTGAATTCAATCCCAAAGTTGAAGCCTGGGTTGGTACGAGTGTTACTTTAGCCACCGTTGGAGATAATTTATATAGGCTTTGCCTGTTATTACATCGAATTGACTTGTAACAACTTTGTCAGTAACATTTGTTGAAATGGAATTGGTCGTACATTGGTGGGTAATGAAACGTTTGTCGGTGGTGTACTTGTCAACACATTGGCGGTTTTTCTGTTGATATGTAGATATTTGTTTGGTCAACAGAATGACGTTAAAATGACAAAGGATCAAATGCGGTATGCCCCGTTATCTGCCCCAATATTCTGACATTCATGATTTTACAAATTTTACATTTTTATGATTTGAAATAATAATTAAGATGCATTATAGTTCTGGAAAAACTTTTGATTTTAATTATATTGTCTTGAATATAAAATCGGGATGGTTTATTGAGGCGCACGTACGAGATTTTCGCGAAAACAACAGAAATTTACGTGTACAACATCAAAATTAAGTAGGAGCGCAGTTTTGCTCCACAAAGATATTTTAGTTTTGACTTTCTTTGTGGAAAACAGATCGACTCCTTAAGTTTCGTTTTGGAGCACGACTGCGCTCATATCTAAAGATTGAAAAAAAATATCAAAAAGGCGAACCTCGTCCGAAACACAAAATGAGCGATGACTATAATAATCGAAGCGACGAGTTTATCCGGATTTTGTCGTTCCTGTGATAAATAATTCACACATATTTTTGGTTTGTAAAAATATTATTTTATACTTTGCTTATTTCAAAATGTATATTTAATTTATGTATCATATTTTAAACGTAAGAAAAGTAAAATTTGATAATGATAAAAAATAAGTTTCACATTTTCCGTAAATTCCGGACCTTGTCGATTAAACTACTGTACTCCTACCGCGGAAACGTCAACAAAGCGCTAATCATAACAAAGCTGCTCTTCGGCCTATTAATCTGCAAAGAAGTGGAGTTTTCATCTGCTGGATCCAGAATACTTTATATTTGGTAGGTGTTTATTTAAAGATAATGTGTATGCACACAGAATATAGAATGCAGCTTGTAATATCGATGTTTGGTGAGTTTGCCAACTGTCCCGAGATGTTGAAAACCAGACGGGCAGACGACAGTTACTTGGCAAGTTTAAATGCCCAATACTAGCCCTAATGCAACCAAATATTACCTAATACTGTATTCAATACTACAAAATACTACCTTATAACCACCTTATATCGCCAACACATAAATTGTTTACTACGAAGGTGATGAGTTGTAATATATCTGCCGACAAAACGTCGTAAGGGGGGGGGGGGGGGGAACTAAAGACCAGATAGATGAAGAGAGTTGGCCGGAATATAATGGGATTAACCAGAATGAGTTTTTATTTTTTATTAACAATTTTCACTTTATCAAAACTTGAAATCAATCTTTTTGGTAATATGATTTACAAAGACTTTTTTTTTTTGATAAATAGGTTAGATATTGAGGATGTTATATATAGAACAGTACAGTAGAGAGATTTGTTTTCGTTCAACATGAATAAAATGATGCATGATAGATAATTACAACTTGGTCCAACTGACCCCCAATTATTAAAAATATTAATTCTATTTTGTGTTTTGTCAATGGCATATCACTTATTCTGATGTAGGTGTGACAATTTTTAAAGATTTTTATTTTATTTTAACACTTGTAACTTTTAACCTACATAATTTTAAAAGGACAATATTATTTAATATACATATAAAGTATGAGATGAATCTACACATATAACACAGTACATGTAATACTTAATCCATCTGTCATAAGCTTTTCATACTTTGCATTATAACTTTAAAAAATTACACAAATTATTTTGAAATCAATTTTTCTTTGATATTTGTAGCTGGAGATACAAATCTTGGCCAGCATGGGATGAACAGATATTGAAGATCACAAGATTTTGCAGTAAACTGACATGCAGGTATTGAAAAGTACATTTTTATTCTACTTAAAGTAAAGGGTACTACTGTACCATTGGGTCTTCTCCCTTCTATATAGAGGACGAAGCAACCAAAGAGAGTTTTTCTGGCTTAAAGTAACTTCTCAGTCAAACATATTTTTCAATGTTCATTTTTTTCATATTATTTGAGCATTTTTATTTGGCAATTTAGCATCACAATATACAATTACAATTATACAATTATTTTTAAGTGTCATCAATATTTGCTCACTCCGAGACAGATTGATGAAATCATGTTTTAACCTGATCGCTATAATATATTTGTATCTAAATAGTGATTTCAAGTTTTAGCACATTTTGCCAAAAACCATATAATGTAAGTTCCTATTCTTTTCCAGACTGCAAAAACAATATGCCAAAGCACTTTTGTTGTGTTGAGTGTTCAAAGAGGTGCAGATCTGATCCCTCAGCCCGTCGTCCTGTTCCACCTTATCTAAGGGGAAAAGCTGAAAAGAAACTTTATCGACCATTGACTGAAGAAGACGTGTTGTGTTCAGCTTGTCGAAGGAGATTGGCTAGATCAGATCCACTGGTATTAACACGGAATAACAATCAACATGTCTTGTCAAACTCTCAGGAGACAGATCCTGATTTCTGCCCAGCTTTACAGAGAGATGCATCTCAGGTCTTGAAATCTCCAAAGTCTGTTGAACTGAAAATCAGTTCAACCCCACGGAACCATAAGAACTGTGTAGTATGTAGAAAACCATCGGGACATCGCAATCACCTTACTGTTGTACCTGCTTCTGCTGTTACACAGGCATTTGTTCATGTAGGCATTTTTATTAACAGTGATAGTAGATGTTGTAAGTTCCATCTTGTGAATGAATACTTTACTCCAGAAAGTGTAATTCTTCTTAATTCTTCAAAAGCTTCAGAGAATCTTTCAAGAACTGAGATTTGTTATCTCTTGGACAATGTTAGAACATTGATGAAAACTGTTTCTCATCTGAATTTTGATGTACCTACTGCACTTCTAGATTCTGATTATAAGAATCTCACAGGCCTTACAAGAGATCAGTTTCATGAGCTGAGTTCCTACATTCACAAGTTACGGAATAACTTAAACAGGTCAACCAGAACATGTCTTGCTGTCTTTCTCACTAAGCTCAGAACTGGACTTCCAAACTCTGTATTATCCTCGCTATTTGGTCTGTCTGAAGCTCAGGTTCAGCGTATAATTCCCTCGGTAAAAGAGGAATTAATGGATACATTTGTTCCTAAGCATTTAGGATTTCAACATATATCACATCAAGAGTTTTGTGAAAGACACACAACACCTGTTGCTAGGACTCTTTTCACAAAGGCTGAAGATGAAGCTGTTCTTTTGTTAGATGGCACATACATATTTATACAGAAGAGTAGTGACTATTATTTTCAACGCCGCTCTTACAGTCTTCATAAAAACCGTCCTTTAGTTAAACCAATGATGGTTGTTGGTTCGGATGGCTATGTGCTGAGCGTTCTTGGACCATATATGGCAGACTACAGTAACAATGATGCAAGCATCATCAAGCACATGATGAACAAGAATTCAGAAGACATGAAAGGTAAACATACAATTTATTTTAATATTCATATAATCTATCAGCATTGAAATAGGATAACTTTTGAATTTATATATGAAGTTAACGTCTTTTGTAAGAGGTCATTTTAGCAAATAAAATGGACAAAACTTGACCATGAATGCAATATTAATTTATTGAAGTTGTCGGTTAATTCATAGATGTATTTATACAGAACACTGGATCTAACACTGCATGTATACCTCTAATGTTGAAATATAGTTAATTCAGATGTCATTTTTTTTTCTGGTGAGGTTTTCATTTTGGAGTCATTACACTGTATACTTCACCTGATAAATAATTATGTAGCAACTGAATTTCCAAGATCAGTTTATGTTTATAAAAATAACCAGACCATGAAAGTAAGTTAGATCACATAATCATTTACTTTAAGCCAGTGGCATAGATAGTATATATATTAATATTTATTTCTAACCTTCATTGCAGATTGGTTAAAGGAGAATGATGTCATGGTGGTGGATAGAGGCTTTAGGGATGCTGTGGAATTTCTACAGGAAAGTGGGTTGAGGGTAGAAATGCCTTCCTACCTTCAGAAAGGTGCAAAACAGCATACCACTGAAGAGGCAAACCTTTCAAGGCTAGTCACAAAGGTTAGATGGGTGGTAGAGAGTGCCAATGGTAGGCTAAAACAGTGGAGACTCCTTGATAAAGTTGTTCCAAACACTCTTGTACCCCAGATCGGCGATTTTGTCCGAATCATTTGTGCAATATGCAACAAGTTCCGTCCACCTTTAGCTAATATGGACCCACAATTGGAAGAGGAGGCCACGAAGATGTTGGAAAAAGTGTGTCTGTCTAATAAAGTCCAGGAGTTTGTGGAAGAAAATAACCTGGTGAAGAGGAGAGTTCCTTATAAGAAAATTGATAGTATCAATGATGTATTATCTGATTTTCCTCACCTAAGTATGGATGATCTTAGGAGTATTACCATGGGTGTGTACCAGATCAAGCAATGCATCTGCTATTCAAAGGAACATTTAAGTGATGAGGGAACATACGACTTAATGTTTTGTACAGAATTCCCAAGTTTGCTACAAGTCAAGATACAATCTCGTCATTCAAAGAACTCGGTACATACACTTTGGATCAAGTACATATTGGAGGACATGTCTTGCCCAATATCTGGATGGTACTGCACCTGCAAAGTTGGAGCACGAGTGGTAGGCTGTTGTGCCCATGTAGCCAGTGTGTTATGGTATATTGGATACCAAAGACACCAGGATGATCCTTTGGCAAAGGGGAAAAAGTTAGCACAGTGTCTGGATGATGCCGGGGAAAATGCAACTGTGGACAATACTGAAGAATGATTTCTGGTACAAATTGTAAAGTATACAATACCCAGCTGAACATATGCATTGTAATGTATACAATATACAGCTGAACATATATATTGTAACTTATACAATATACAGCTGAGCATATACATTGTCATGTATACAATATACAGCTGAGCATATATACATTGTCATGTATACAATATACAGCTGAGCATATACATTGTAACTTATACAATATACAGCTGAGCATATACATTGTCATGTATACAATATACAGCTGAGCATATATACATTGTCATGTATACAATATACAGCTGAGCATATACATTGTAACTTATACAATATACAGCTGAGCATATACATTGTCATGTATACAATATACAGCTGAGCATATATACATTGTCATGTATACAATATACAGCTGAGCATATACATTGTAACATATACAATATACAGCTGAGCATATACATTGTCATGTATACAATATACAGCTGAGCATATATACATTGTCATGTATACAATATACAGCTGAGCATATACATTGTAACATATACAATATACAGCTGAGCATATACATTGTCATGTATACAATATACAGCTGAGCATATATACATTGTCATGTATACAATATACAGCTGGGCATATACATTGTAACATATACAATATACAGCTGAGCATATACATTGTCATGTATACAATATACAGCTGAGCATATACATTGTAACGTATACAATATACAGCTGAGCATATACATTGTAACATATACAATATACAGCTGAGCATATACATTGTCATGTATACAGTATACAGCTGACCATATATACATTGTAACGTATACAATATACAGCTGAGCATATACATTGTCATGTATACAGTATACAGCTGAGCATATATACATTGTCATGTATACAGTATACAGCTGAGCATATACATTGTCATGTATACAGTATACAGCTGAGCATATATATATTGTCATGTATACAGTATACAGCTGAGCATATACATTGTCATGTATACAGTATACAGCTGAGCATATAAATGAAATTGATAGTCCATCAGTCTGTTACAATTAAGTTTCTATTGTTGTGTTTTAATAACACCAAGTTCATTTTGATTCTGAATTGAGAACGTTATTTTTTCAACGTCTAATTCTTAATTATTTTTTTCTTTAATCTCCTTTAAATACAAAGAAAATGAGAGTTGCTTTTGACTTGCAGCAATTCTTATTTATTAATAATGTACTACATGTACTTGTTTTGTGAAAACCACAATAATCAAACAAAAATCATACAATATATAGTTAACTTTCTTATTGTAAATGAAAATGAATGTATGTATCAAATATGTGTATATTTTAGTGATTTGTATGCTTAATAGATGTAAATAATGAAAGTTGTAATGCAAAAATACTTGTTGCTGCGATCAAAATGTTTATAATGCACTATTTGGTTTTGTAAAGTTCATTACAATCAAACAGAAATCACACAATATATAATTTACTTCTTATTGTAAATGAAACTGAATGTATGTATCAAATAAGTGTATATTGTAGTGATTTGTATTTAAAATATAGTAATAATGAGATTTAATCATTCATCCAGTAAATCTGTTAATCAAATGAAGTACAACTTGTTGAGAGGCGGAGTTTCACTTGACCAACAGTAACACAATTGATTTTAAATTCATTTAACAGTACCCTATATCAAAATATTTACCGATTTAATATGGTGAGCTGCTGTTCCCAGAGTTCATCTTTCTATGTGTTGAAGCCAGGACCATACTTTGCCAATAATTAAAACAATTAAAGAATCCTTAACTATATATTTGTCGTTTGGTCTTCTTTTTGATAATGTCAGTTGCTATGCAAAAATGCTTGTTGCTATGGTCAAAATGTTGTATTTGGAAAATCACTAAAATTAAATGGAAATTACACAATATATAGTTAACTTTCTGGATGTAAATGAAAATGAATGCATGTATCAAATATGTGTATATTAACAACAAGAGTACTAAATTAGTTTAATATCAACTCTAACATAAACGTGCATTTTAACCCTATAACGGACGTTACATAACACCCCTATTGAACATTTCTACCGTATAACTTACGTTATATCAATCCCGTGTTTAACATTTCTACCGTATAACGGACGTTATATAACACTCCTATTTAACATTTCTACCGTATAACGTATGTTTTTTCTCTCTGTTTATTACATACTTAATAATAAAATACGGAGAGATCTACTATCTAAAGATCTATTATTTTTTTGAATATTGAAAAACGAAAAATTTCCAAAAAGGGTGTGATACGGTTTTTTCGGGCTGATACGGAGAGGGCTGGTATGGGTTTTGGGTCGTGATACGGCGAACGCTGATATGGGCTAGAGCAATTGTGTCGTATCGCATATACAAAAAACTGTATTTATTAGTAAGTATCTAATAACTCATTTTTAACATTTCTACCGTATAACGGACGTTATATAACACTCATATTTAACATTTCTACCGTATAGCGGACGTTATATAACACCATTATTTAACATTTAGTGTTAAGCAGCATCCTGCAAATGGCTTAAGCTTACAATCGTTAATTACATTTTAACACTCATTGTACATTTCAGATGGAGAACTTCATTACGTTACGATGTGTTCGGTAAAATTGTTCCAAAAGCGGTTAATTGTACTGTATACGGTACGACTCATACACTCCTTTAGAGCTGTTTCAAATATAGATCATTGGGCGCCGGATAAGAAATTAAAGCTAAGAACCGTTTTTAGGAAATGCTTTTATGGAAGGAATGTGAAAACCGAGGGTTCATGCTATCTATCGATCAATCGATCATGAACGTGGAATTTTAACGTGACGTGTTTTTTTTAGACCAGACCAGATCTGTTCCCGATTATTTCTGTACAGTAAATGGAAACAATTAGTGCTGCATGCTCTTTGAGAAGATACCGCTCAGGGATTATCGCCTCAATCCTCAGGGCAAACAAAACGTAAAAAATGACAGATTGAGAGATTGCTCTCTGGGTTGTTGATCGAATCGACACTTCGTTCAATCCTACATGTAACAAATTATAAATGAATGACCAAGAGCATTTATATTTGACTGACTTACCGCGTTCATTCATGTACTTGATTAGGGAATCATGTCCATATGCTATCGAGCAAACAATCCAGGCATATCCATTCTTGAATAACAATGCACGTGGATACATGATTGTCAAAGCACTCTCACACTTGATTGAAATAAAACCATGTTCATACTAAAATGACAGCACATATTAACACTTGATTGACCAAGCGTATCTACACGTATTTGAAAAATTATGTCCACACTTGACAGACAACGTACGTCCATTCCTGATCAAGCGTAACGGCTATTCGGAACATTGAGGGATAAAGACGGTTCTCTTGCCTGGAAAGGTCTCGATCTGCCTCGACCAAATGTTCCTGTGTGTGTGTGTGTGTGTGTGTGTGTGTGTGTGTGTGGGG